TCGACACAGCATGCTGCATATAGGCAAGCCTTAGGGCATTTTCAAAACTGCATTCCCCTGAAGCTGTTTCTCCACTGTTCAATGATTCTGATTCTAATAATTTTTAAACGAATCCCTAGGCAACTTCTAGGCTATAACTTCTGGGTATAAAATGTGGTCTATTTTTGCATCGTCAGTTAGAGATCCTGTTTTAGGACTTTGATTAATAGAGACCTTAATTGTGTTTGAGTCGTGCTGCTTGTACGTTTACTTGTGGAGGAAAATTGAGCCTTTATCTACTCTTTCCTATTCTTGTTTGCTCAATGTCCTAATTGTTTTGCTTGTCGCCTTAGAATTTTCACCTTTAAAACCTTAGGGGTTTGTCTAGAACTACCTATAGGTAGAGGTCCTAACTCCCTCCGGGACCACTAAGAAGGGACGGGTAGCAGCACGCAATAGGAATCCGTCACCGACACTCGCTTTGCATGACCAATAAGGGGATGGGAAGGGTAGACGTTGATATGATGATCGGTGCGCTAATGCCACGCGTAATCCCTTTTCAAGGAGTGATTACCGGGCATTGTACTGATGATCCTATAGGCTAACCAAACTAGGACCTCCCTCTCCCCCAAATCCTTTGCTTGAAACTTCATTTTTTTCCCTTTTTTTCACAACCTGTTTAAATTCTTATTTTATGCAATGCCCAACATGCTCTACTTGCAATTACTTGCTTCAATTGTTTATTTATGGACTAATTTGTGAATATAAGTTCGGCCGAGACCCACAGTTGTGGACCAAGAGGGATTCCTAACACCTTCCCCTCGAGGTTACTTCGAGCCCTTACCCTAATCTCTGGTAATACAAACCAACCCAAGAGTTAATCGCTCTAGGTGCCCTAACGCACCATAATCCGTTAGGTGGCGACTCTTCAAATACCCAATTCCCAAAAGAAAATGAGTCATTACACCCCGTGAATGTCGAAACCCGGACTTCTCCCTCGCGAGGAGGGGGGAAAAAGGGGCCGCGACAGTAATAACCTGAGGAACCAACTCCATGTTTGCTTTTTTTCAGTGCCTACAACAGCCAAGCTATTGGGAAATTTGGTTATTCCCATCCTTTACTACTGCTGCCAACAATTGCCCTTTACAAACATAATTTAAAAAATATCAATCTAACCCTATACATCTTCTACAACCCTCCATAAACCCCTGCTTCATAGCTGAAACAAATGTAGAAACTGGAAAACTGCTTCTGCCCATCATCTGTGTCTGTCAATTTTACTGCACAAGTGTTACCAGGATTTATTTTGAGTAGCATATCCCTATAGTCCAGAATCCTACCAAACTCAGCAACATGATCCCCCATAATCTCTTTTAACACAATCATTTTGGCCTTCAAACAAACAACCTTACCAACATATAAACCAAGCTTTTTTCTCACTATATCCTGAATTTCCTAACCTTTAATTCTAGGTTGTGAGGTAATTCTATCTTTGAACTGCTTTGCCACATATTTTGTATTACACAGATAGTTATAAGTGGTTTTATGGCATTTGTATCTTGTATTGTAAGTCTTGATTGTGAAGTTTGTACTCCTACCTTTCTTGCTAGCAAACAACAACCAGTTTTGCATTTAACTCTGACCCTATGTGGCTCATTGGGATCCTTAACTAGCTGAATACCTTTCTTTATAGCATACTTGGTAACCGCTTCTCTAAATTCCTTCACATTCTCAAATACCATCCCCAATTGCCAAGTAACAATTTTGGCAGAAGAATCATAAACCACTCTATTTGTTTTTTTCCTTCCCCTTAACTGTCCCATATTATCTTCCCCATCTACATCATCATCAGATACAGGATCACCCTTCCCTTCCAGATCTGATTCAGATTCAAAGCTCTCCGGATCTGAACTATCATAGTAAGGCTCATCATCACCTCCTAATTTGTCCCTCATATTTTTTTTGGGCTGATCTATGTTCTCATAACCTTCATCAACTCCAACTTCACCTAAAAATCCATCAGGTTTTTCCTTCCTAAATTTTCTCCTATTCTTTTGTCTATATTTCTTCAGATCTTCTTTAACAAACCTCAACTCTTCATGGACATCACTTCCATAATCAAATGACCTCTCAGATTCATCACCATATGCTATTTCTTCTTCTTCTCCAGCAGGTCTACCTGTTGAGAATCAGCAGCAATGTCCTCTACATCATCAGCTACATCAGATTCTTCTTCCTCTAAAGAGGAAGTCCAATCTATGGGTGAATCCTCTTCTTGAGTGGTATTCAAAGGAGTAGGTAACCCTAGATCTGGATTTGCAGCAGTAGTATTTAAAGGAAGATCACAGGGAACAAAAGATTCCCTATTGTCTTGTTGTGTGCTAGAAGATGCATTAAAAGGCTCACCCCGGTGGCTTATTTGGCTACCCTCTATAGCATCCACCTCCTCAAATTGTGAGTCAGAAGAGACAAAAATGTCTATTGTGTCCCCATTGTTTAATAACATAGCAAGGTCCATTAAATCCCTATCTTTTGTTAATTCAACCAAATTGCCACCCTTAGCACTCATAATATAAGTTTTTCCTAACTTTGTAATCCCAAAATCCTTAGCATAATCAGATAACTCTGGTATTGAGAAGTGGTCAGAGTCGACATTAGTCACATGTTCAACCCTACCCCCAACATATAGAGGTCCTACCTCACTCACCAATATCCCACCAATTTTCCATCTTAGATTCAAATACTTCGTATCCATGGGACCCTAAAAAAAGTAAAAGATAACTCTCAAGACAGAAGTTTGTAAAATTATATACAAAAGATTACAAATAAACCGTAATCGGTAAAGACCCCCACAAATTAACAAACAACATAAAAGCCCTGATTTAACCCTAATCAGCATGTATGGAAAAATCACAATCAACATAAAAGCCCTGATTTTACCCTAACAGAAAGAGGCACACATACCTTCAAACTCGGAGTGAAAATAGTAGAAATATTTGCGAGAATCAAAGATACCCAATAGCTTTTAGCTCCTCCACAGTAGCTTTTAGCAGCACCTCAACGGAGAACCCTATCGACTCACAAAATCAAGCTCAAGAACGCACAATCGTCTCTGTCATTGATGATGGGAGTGAAGTGGTGAACCCTAGTTTTCTATGTTATCGACCAAATGAACGATGGTAAAAGGGATGGGTTAAATTTGAGGGATTAATTTTAAAGGCGGGTCGGGTATTCTAATTGGATACCCGAATTATTCCAACAGCCACATCAGCAAGCATTTACATGTATACGGCGCGTGTATGCACGATAGAAAGGTTTACTAGGTTAGGGGGGTAATAAAAATCCGAAAAAGTAAGCATAGGGGGTAATTAAAATCACGTATAGTTAAGGTGTACACATTACAAAGTGTCAAGTTTAGGGGGGTCTTTACCTATTTTGCCTCATGTTATAATATCAAGTTTACCAAAAAAAGAAGTGTCAAATGTTACCTGATTCTTTTTCTTTTAGTCAATTTTAAGTCTTCATGTTAAATTCATATTTAGCTTTAAAATTACCAGAATTGAATAAGTATTGATTAATACTGTCATAATTCAATACTCTAGTTAGGTCTTAGCATGCTACCTTGATCTCAAATGTTACATATAATTTTTATTTTTCAATCTTCGTTATTTTTACTATGTGTTTTTCTCTTTGAGATACAAACTATCAATGATAACAAAAATAAATAAATAACTAGACATTATCAATTGAATGGCTATAACTTGTTTTTGTTATTTTGTACATGCAACAAAATGCTTTATAGATTATTTTTTCTTCCTTTGTTTTCCTGCTTCCTCGTTATGTCTAATTTGTATACTTATTTATGTACTTGAATATTTTTACAAATTTTTGAATAGGTGTTGCTCTTGTTTGCGCTCACAATTTTAGTTCTTATAACTAGCTTATTACCATATAACCATCAATCAGTGATCCAAAGTGTTGTTTTTGTCACCTTGGTGGGTAGAGAAACACTACTTGTTCTTATTGTTTTCTCCCCCCCCCCCTCCCCCCCTCCTATTTTTCTAGCTTTTAGATTGCTAGTATTATCTTTAGGCCTTTGTTATTGTTTGTTTCTATTATTCCAAAAGTCTATTGGAAACCGTAACCGTTAACCGAACTACAAAATTGACGTATTGACTTGTCAGGTTATTGGGGTAATGGTTGGTGAACGGATTGAGATTTTATAATTAACAATTAAACTGTTTGATGACGGATTACTTAATTTTTTTATCTGATAAACCGTAACATGTTAAGAATTTTTATATTTAATCATTTACCCCTATGTATATAAAGTACTATTGAAACTATATTATATAGTAGTACTATTGAAACTAAATGTAAGCACTACTATTTGATGAGCAATGGGTGTGAGTTGTGAACTTGTGATTATTTGTTGGACCTCGATTATATAAATATAAGTACTACTCACAGTACTCGTCATGATCCGATAAATCACAAAAAATAAATGTAAGCACTACTCACAGAAAAACTACTCACAAGCACCGAGCAAATGTGTGCTTTACTCCAATTTTTTTTCGTATCTCTAATTTTCTACTCCTACTTTTTTTTATTTAGTCGATACATGTTCGATAATCGTTAATACAATACCAATTCACCCGATATTTTATTGGATGGCTAGCAGATTATTATATTTATAAACCGATTACTGATAAGTTAAATCGTTAAGCGTAAATATACGTCAGATCCGTCCAATAAGCACCCTTAATTGAAAACACCCTTTACTTCCAAAAGTAGGGATAATATCTACACAAATATTATTTTGTTCAGATCCCACTTGAGCGATCCTATTGAGTTTTTTGTTGTTATTGTTGGGTACTAAAAACTAAAATATATGCAAATTTAGGATGAGTGCAAAAATACTCACAACAAATATGCCCCTCGGGAAAATTTCAATAAACATAGGGGGCAAAGGACAAACGAATATGCCTCGTTGGCGCAAATCAAGCGTTCCATGACCTTCTCGCGTCCTCTAGTTTCCAATTTCCACCGCTTGGTGCCAGTCAGTCTCTCCCTTACTCCCCTTCAACTCCTTTCTCCTCTCTTTAGCTCACTGTACAGCGACATTTTCCCTCTCTTTGCTTCTCTTCGGATCTCGATACTTCCATTTTTTGCATAATTCTCTCTCTATATTTTTTTGAATTCAGCTTTCGCTGTATATCTATTTCTGTAGAGCTTGTGAGTGTATTGAGGAAACGGTGCGATTGAATGGACGGAGTTCATGAGAACACGGCGGTAGGGAATTCGCCGCCGCCTTTTCTGAGCAAGACGTATGACATGGTTGAGGATCCGTCGACGGATTCTGTGGTGTCGTGGAGTAAGAGTCACAACAGCTTTGTTGTGTGGAACGTGCCGGAGTTTGCTAGAGATGTTTTGCCCAAGTATTTCAAGCACAATAATTTCTCCAGCTTCGTCAGACAGTTGAATACTTACGTCTGTACATTTCGTCTTCCTTTCCCTTCGTCTGGTTGCTACTTCTCTTGCTTTTATTATTGTGTCCGAACCGTTTCCTTAAACCCTAAAAAAATTAATCAATTTTCTATTTCTGCAAAATTTCTGTGTCTATTTATACTGATTTAAATGCTTTAACTTGTTATTTCTCTCGCTTCTCTATCTTCTGAATTTTTTCCATTAGAAATTTCGAGAGTATATTGGTGGTATATTATGCTGGAACGATGCTTTAACTTGTTTATTTGGAGTGCACTGGTTGATGCCTAGATATGTGCAAAGTTTATTGTCAAGCTGGCAAGGACACAAGATTGGAGGAAACAGAAATAAAATTTGGAGAACAGACAGCTGCTTTATGCATCTTATGGAGTATATGGTGGGAAAGGAATAGGAGGTGTTTTGATGGAGAGAGGAAATATATAGCGGAAAATCTGTTTCAAGGGTGTAAGGAGAGGATAGTAGAAGGCTTCTCAGATGTTTTAAACTTTTTAGATTCATTGAGATGAGTGTGATTAATTGTTATATGGTGACTTATGTACTGTTGTAAATTTGTTTTTTGCAGTACCATCTTGGTACTTGCCTTAATAATATTTACTTATCTTAGTAAAAAAAATAAAAATAAAGGTTGAGAGACTTGTGACTTAGGTCGTAGATTCAAGAAGAGTAGAGGGGGGCCCCATTATCCGCGAGTTACAAAGGCTGTAGTTGGTCCTAAGGGTTGGCTTTAGCTATGTTGCTCAGTCTCTATGAAAATGTCACCGGATGCGTGTCGGATCCTCCAAAAGTGGTGCATTCTTGGAGGATTCGACAGGGGTACGGCAACATTTTGGGGAGTCCGCGCAACATAGGGCTTCAGACAGCTTTTCTCGGTCATAAAAAGATAAAAAGAAGGATGGCACTTCTGTTTTGATCTCTATGATTATAAATTGTGATGTTTGGTATCCATGGGGGAAGCTTAGGATTGAATTGCTTAAGGGGACTTTAATTAACTGAGATGAAGATATTCCTTCAGGGAGGTGGGGTAAAACTTATCCCATGCTTTTACCCCTTCTTTATTTTTCTCTCTCATCCATCACCCACTAACCTCCATTGCCTCACCACTCTCTGTCCCCCTATTTTGTTGTATTTGCTCTTGTTTTTCAAACATTTATTGTTCCCTTTTTTATATCTACTATGCCCAGTAAAATTTTACTTGTAAAAAAACTCTACTGTTTCCTGTGAAGTAGCTTTAGTAAATGTACTGAAGATAGTGTTAGACTAGCTTTTAAAGTAGTTTTAGGTTAAATCGCATATTATTCTATGCCTTTGGGGCATGCCATTTTGTCACAAAATTTAATATTGCTTTATTCACGTACATACTTGTGCTACACCATTATAGTCCTGCACTTTAACTCCCTGGGTAACAATTGTCGACATAGTTGATGGAATCATTCCAGGTTTAGATGTTTTAAGTAATAGATGGATGTTAGGGATTTGTTTGTGATCAGAGAGTCATCTTTCTGCAGAGTGTGGTCGTCACTATTATGTGTTCTGCCCTTGTACCCACTGGACAACTTTAATTCCTTTTATAGTTTGCTTTCCCCTTTTGTCAATCAGGGTTTCAGGAAGGTTGATCCGGATCGCTGGGAATTTGCAAACGAGGGATTTCTTAGAGGCCACAAACACCTGTTGAAGAGTATAAGCAGGCGAAAACCCTCTCAGGTGCAGGGTCATCAGCAAACCACCCCCCAAGTGCAAAATGCATCTGTTGGATCTTGTGTTGAAGTTGGGAAGTTCGGAATAGAGGATGAGGTGGAAAGGCTTAAAAGAGATAAGGATGTTCTTATGCAGGAGCTGGTTAAGTTGAAACAGCAGCAGCAGGCGACGGATCACCAAATGCAGACTGTTGGGCAGCGTTTCCAATTAATGGAGAAAAGGCAACAGCAAATGATGTCATTCCTTGCCAAGGCCATGCAGAGCCCTGGCTTTGTAGCCCAACTGGTACATCAACAGAATGGGAGTAACAGGCGTATTGCTGGAATGAATAAGAAAAGGAGACTTCCTGACCAGGATGAAGAAAATGTTGCAGGCAATCCTGTTAATATGTCGCGAGATGGACGGATAGTCAGGTATCAACCTTCAATGAACGAGGCAGCAAAAGCATTGCTGCGGCAGATTCTGAAAATAAATGCACCTGGGAGGCTGGACAACAGACTTAAGAACACAAATGGTCTTTTGACTGATAATCCCCTCTCTCCCAAGAATGCACTTAGTTGTGATACATCCAGTCGTATTTCTGGGGTTACCCTCTCTGAAGTATTGTCAATGTCTTCACAGTCTCATATAATCTCAGATTCAGGATTTCCATTCAACTCTTGTTCATCTGTCATGTCTGAGAGCCAATCTTCAACTACTGTGGTTCCTGGGGAGGCCAAAGTTCCTAAGTTACCCGAAACGGATGCTCTGAACTCTCTCACAGACCATGATTTGCCTGAATTTTCTCAAGAACAAAGGATTAATAGACAGGAAACTTTTGGAATAACTGGCCTCAAGAGGCCTGAGACTGGAAATGTGCCATATATTGACAACACGCAAGCCATTTTGGATGGTGTAACAGCAATTGCCCCTGATGGATTTTCGGCAGACACCCATGTCGATGTCCTGCTAGATGATGTGCCTAAGCTTCCAGCGATTAATGATATTTTCTGGGACCAGATTCTTTCTGCAAGCCCTCTTACTGGGGATACGGATGAAATTGGTATGGAAGATGGCTTAGAAAAGGAAGAGGATTTTCTAGGAGTTCAGGAGAACGATTTGGATAAACTAAACCATATGTGTCATCTTACTGAACAGATGGGGCTTCTTTCATCAGCAGCCCAGATTTGATGATTTCATGGATTTTATTTGAACACTGCAACAACAGAGGTAAATCTCCATCCTCCATTATGAGCTATTGCTAGTCTATCAGATTACATATCTTGCAAAACTCTTGCTATTTGGGTGGTTTTTCCTCATTTCAATTGCCATACAAATAGGGCTCTTATGGATCAAAGATTTCACTATCTATAATGTTTGACCAATGTATGTATGTGTTACTTAGCAAAAGGAATTTCACTTCAATGTACACGTGTAAGTGGTTATGCGACTCGCTGACACCGTGTTGATATCTTGAAAATCTGTCTTGATATAATTCTTGTTTCATCGCGGGGTCTGAAATTATTCGTTCATTATATGCCTCAGTGTACACTGCATTAAACGTGTGTATCACAAACATTGTGAGGTGCGGTCAGGTGTCAATAGTATATTCTCTTTTCTTCCTTGCCTTCTATGCCAATGTTTATTGCTGCTCGTATGTTTACTCTACTGCATTGAACACAATACTGAAGGTGTGGTGAATTTTAGAGGGTGTAGAGCATTGAACCTTTCCCCATGTGGTAATATTCTTTTGTCAGGTGGACGCACTGAACTGGTTGGCATTAACAAGCTTGTTATGAAGGACTGATCTTCACTACTAATGATGTTCTGAGTAGTGAAAAGGGGACCCCCAAAAGAAAAAGGGCTGTGTCTGATCTTGTATTAGTTTTTTGGTGCATATGTATGTAGACTTTGTATGGATATTATCCAGCACAACGGTTAGGTAAAAAAGAATACTAAATAGTTGTTTACTTGTTAAGAAAGTAAAAAAGGGCACGGTAGAAAGTTGTTGCAGAGGATCTGTTTGTAAATTTTGCTGTTTACATAAGCAACTACTATAAGGATTTTAATGAAGATGCAAGCTGATGTATGGGTGGCTTGCTTTTTGTACAAAGATATTGAATGGTATTTGTCTGTTATTGTGAGGTTTGTATTCTATGCAGGGGTTGCTTCTAGCAGCTTCTCCCACTAAATAGATGATCCTCTTTCCCAGCATATTATGAAAATTTTCCCCTTTCTATGTTGCTTATTGTTGGGCTGATGCTGATAACTCTCTAAATGGTCTAAGCGTTTGTGGTGGTTTAGAGTTGGTAGTATCTGTTTTGGTTTCTTTTTACTCGCTACCTACAATTGTACAAAAAAACAGAGAAGTTGCTTCTCTTGAGTGGGTGAAAATATGCCTTTAAGATCCTATAAACAGTGTTGTTAGACGCTTTGAGGGCTGGGCTACATGCCATGTTCAAATGAATGTAACTTGGAAGCTCGCCCAGTTTTCCCCAAGGAAAGGTAAAGAAGCATCGAAAGAGAAATGACATGATTTTTTTTTAGCATTTTCCTAATTCAGATTTTGAGTTAACGGATCCTTTTGTCATGGTTGGGCGAATATTAGAAGTGTTTGATAGAGACTACTAATATTTACTGTTTAATGACAACAGAATGCTTAATCAAATAATATCTTGATTAAAATGATTCAACAGCCTTACATGATTATTTGATGGAGTATACAATCTTAGGAATAGATATTTGGTTACATCCCCTTTGGTCATTCCTTGTATTTTTGTTCAGATTTCAACGTGTGCTTTTTTCCCCTTTGCTAAATCAGGTGTGCTTTGGGGGGGGGGGGGGGGGGTTATGGAGAACCCCATTTAGGAGTCTATTGAACATTACTGGAGATACTATATGAGAGGTCGTCCGTGGAATATCCTTAAATGATGCTAAAATAGCCTGTTTGTCTTCTGTTTTTTTGATTTTTTTCCCAAATTTTTTTTTTTTTGGGCTAAAATTGCTTTTTTAAAATAAAGGTCTTTGGCGAAACAAAAATAGTGTTTTTAAGTAGAAGTAGAAGCACTTTTTGAGAAGCAAAAAAAAAGCAACTTCTTTCTAAAAATATTTTTTTTAAAAGTACTTTTGAGAAAAATACTGATAGAAACAGATTTTAAAAGTTAGGTCAAATATTAGTTGCTATTCAAAAAAGTTTTTCAAATTAATTAGCCAAACATAAGTTGGTTCTCACCAAAAGTATTTTCTTAATAAGCACTTTTGAGAAAAACGCTTTTGAAAATAAGTTGATCTAGCTTTGCCAAACAGGCTATAAGTAGGATTTTTACTTAAAATGTGCTTCTAAAATTAGCTTATCTTGAAAAGTGTTTTTTTAAAATTTAACTAATTAATCTAAAAAGCACTTTGAGTAGCAATTAGTATTTGACTAAGTTTTAAAAAAGTGCTTTTAAGTGTATTTTTTTTCAAAAGTGCTTTTAAAAGAAGCTACTTTTATTTGCAAGAACTGTTTTTACTTCTATCCAAAAGTAATTTTTTTTTTCTAAAAGTTTCGACAAACACTTTAACTTCACGAAAAAAAACACTTTTGGCAACAAAACAAAAAAAAAAACTTTTGGCCACACACAAAAAAAAAAAAAACTCGCTAAACAAGCTATGGAAGTGCATTTTTTTCAAAAATATTTTACAAAAAGTGCTTTTAGTAAGAACTGCTTTTTCTGCTTATTCAAAAATACCATTTTTCCTTCTAAAATTTTTGACTAAATATTTTAACTTTGAAAAAAATACAGTTAGGCCAAAAATAAACTTGGCCAAACAGGTTATTAGTTGCTCTTGCTGCTTTTTATAAAAAAACAAGTCGGTCTAGCTCGGTTTAATTAATACCAAACCCCTAAAGCTCTACTCAAATTATATTTTACTCTTCGACTTATAGCATGTTTGGCCAAGCTTCTTCAAAATCAAAAGTTTTTTTTTTTGGTGTAAAGTTGAAGTGTCTGGCCAAGCTTTTAGAAGAAAAAAAAGTATTTTTGAGGAGAAGCAGAGGCAATTTTGGAGAAGCAGAAAAAAGTAGCTTATCTTCAAAAGTACTTTTTTGAAAAACACTTTAGAAGTAGCTTTTAAAAGCTTGGCCAAACCCTAATTGCTCCTCAGAATTACTTTTTAAATTAATTAGCCAAAAAGTAATTTTGAAAAGAAAAATAAATTTCAGCTTGGCCAAACACGCTCTAAGGTAAACTTTAGTGCCTTAGGAACAGTACTTCTCCCTTCACTTACAAAACCAAAGAGCTCTTTGGCGATTTGCTACTTCCGGCCAAATCCCCTCAATCTCAGGTCAGTTTCTCCTCTTTCTCTCTCATTTTTGGTCGATGGTGTCTCAAACACTGTATTTTTTCTTCTATTCCGCTAAGGTAGTGGTTCTCATCCATCTGCTGCTTTATTTTATTCAGTTATTCTCACACAAAAAACAGCTTAATAAGCATGCACAAATTCAGTGGACATTGATTAAACTCAGAAATGAACATAAGAGATTAGTTTTTCAATTAGGATTCATGATGAAGAAGAAAACCAAAAAATCGTCTCAGAGGAAAAATGTTCTGATATTTACCAATGAATAAAATGAATAAGAAGCCCCTAGAATGTTAACTATCCCCCTATTTATATTTTGGGCCTTTACAATGTAAGAAAAGAAAGAAAGAAAATGCTGTTACAAAATAAATAATGGGTTAGGCCCAAACAGTCCAGCTTCAGCTTTGTAAACTCAATCTTCGTGGCCCAATCATCAGGTGACTCCAACACCCCCCTCAAGTTGGAGGGTGGACACACGCCCAACTTGCCAAGCAAGGCACGATGGTGTAAACCTGTCAAAGGTTTAGTAAAGATGTCAGCTAGTTGTGAGCTAGTGGAAACATGGGACAAGGATATGAGACCATCTGCTAACTTTGTTCGAATAAAATGACAGTCGACTTCAATGTGCTTGGTACGTTCATGAAACACCGGGTTCTTGGCTATATGAATAGCAGCCTGATTGTCGCACAAGACAGGAACCGGAAGAGCAACAGTAAGACCCAAATCAGATAACAGGCGAACTAACCAGGCTAACTCAGCTACCACTCTGCTCATGGCTCTATATTCGGCCTCAGCTGATGACAAAGAAACAATATGCTGTTTTTTAGACTTCCAACTAATGAGGCTACCACCCAATTGAATGCAAAAACCAGAAACTGAGCGTCTAGACTCGGGACAAGCTGCCCAATCACTGTCACAGCTGGCCATCAAAGACAAATCAGTAGAATTATTCAAGAATACTCCGAAATCAGAAGTTCCCTTTAAGTATTGCAAGACATGTAAAGGAGCAGCCATATGTGGAACTCGAGGTCTCTGTAAAAATTGACTTAGATGTTGGACCACAAAACATAAATCAGGTCTTGTGTGAGTAAAAAAATTTAGTTTACCAACGAGGCTCCTATAATTTTCAGGTTGAGGCAGCAGGTCCCCAACATCAGAGTGTAACTTGTGGCTGATGTCCAAAGGACTAACAACAGGAGAAACATCATCACACTTGTATTCTGATAGCAAATCAGATATAAATTTCTTTTGAAACAAAATGATACCTGATTGAAAATAAGAGACCTCAATACCCAAGAAATAGTTAAGCAAACCCAAGTCTTTAATTTTGAACTGAGCATCTAAAAAAGCTTTAAGATCAGAAATTTCTTTCAAGTCATCCCCAGTCACAATGATATCATCTACATAAACAGCTAGAAGGGTAGTAAAAGAGGCAGTTTTCTTAACGAACAAAGAGTAGTCATTCAATGAGTGAGTATACCCCCTAGAGTAGAGTGCATGAGATAGCTTGGCGTACCATTGTCTAGAAGCCTGTCTCAAACCATAAAGAGACTTTTGCAATTTGCATACCAAAGTGGGAGACTCAGAAGAAACACAAGAAGTAGAAGATGTAGAAGCAACAGAAAGGCCTTGAGGGAGTTTCATATAAACTTCTTCATCCAGATCCCCATGCAAAAATGCATTATTGACATCCAGCTGAAACAAGGGCCACTGTTTTTTGACAGCTACAGCAATCACATATCTAATAGTGCACATTTTAACAACGGGAGAGAAAGTTTCATTAAAATCAATGCCCTCCACTTGAGTATCACCTCGAATCACCAATCTAGCTTTGTATCTCTCTACACTACCATCAGATTCGTATTTAATTTTATAAACCCACTTGCATCCTATAGGCTTTTTTCCAGCAGGTAGTTCGACAATTTTCCAAGTGTGGTTTGCATCTAAGGCCTCAAATTCTTTCCTCATGGACTCCTGCCAAGCAGGAATAGCAGCAGCCTGAGTGTAAGAATGAGGTTCTACTGCAGTAGTCATGAGTGAAGAAGAAGAACAGGAAGCAGATGAAGGGAGCTGGACCACATAATCCTTCAAGTGAGAAGGGAGCTGATGAGACCTTGAACTTTTTCTAACTTCAGGACCAGGAAGAACTGCTGATTGAACAGGGACAGTAGAATGAATGGGGGTAGGAACAGTAGCACTTGTGTCAGAGTTGTGAGCAACAGGAGTATTAGGTATCTGAGAAGTAGAGAGAGGAAGATCTGGAGGGATAGAAGGAGCAGCAACAGAATCAGTAGTAGAATCATAAAAAATAGGCATAGGAGGAGGAAGATGAGAGGGGGCAGAAGATGACAAAGTGTAAGGAAAAACACCTTCATGAAAAATGACATGCCTAGAGTAGATAACAGACTTAGTGGTGAGATTGTAAAGTTTGTACCCCTTTTTGGCAAAGGGATAACCAATAAACACACAAGGAGATGCTTTAGGTTGGAACTTATCTCTATGACACTTGGGAACACTGGCATAGCAAAGGCAACCAAAAGGTTTTAAATGAGAATAGGAGGGAGAAGCCCCATAAAGCAATTCAAATGGAGTCTTATTAGACAAAACCTTAGAGGGAAATCTATTAATAAGATAGGTTGCTGTTAAAACACAATCTCCCCAGAACTTGGTAGGAAGATTGGATTGAAACAACAAAGCCCTTGAAGTTTCTAGTAGATGCCTATGTTTTCTTTCTACCACACCATTTTGTTGTGGTGTGTGTGGGCAAGTTGTTTGATGTATGATACCATTATCCGAAAAGAATTGAATGGCCGAATTGGAGGAACCAAGCTCCAAGGCATTATCACTTCTAACCTTTTGGACAGAAAGGTGAAATTGTGTCTTGATCATGGCTATGAATGCTTTTAGTAAAGTGAAGGCATAGCTCTTGGAGTGTAAAAGATGTGTCCATGTTGCTCTGCTATAGTCATCAACTATTGTCAAAAAATATTTTGCTCCAGAGTAAGTTTGGGTGTGGTATGGTCCCCAAGTGTCAACATGTATAAGTTGGAATAATGAGGTGGAATGGGAAGAACTATCTGGGAATGATAACCTAGGCTGTCTAGCTAGATGACAAACATGACAAATAAAAGACTGGTTAGCAGACAAATCATTAGAGATAGAAGGTATATGCTTCATTTGAACAAAAGGAACATGCCCCAACCTATGATGCCAAAGGACATCATTTTTATTCACATTATCTGGAACAGTACAAGAAGGTAAAGTAGAAACATAACAGAAGTTCTCAGTTTGCACTTTGCACATTTTGAACAGTAGCACAAGGTGAAACAGGAGCAGAATTGTAGTTCACATTTTGAGCATTTCCATGCAAAGAAAATTCAGCACTCTGTACTTCATTAGTAAAAGGAGGAACAGAAATATTTGGAGATGTGGGAGGAGCAGGATGGTTGAGGTTAAATTTGTATAATCCTTGATCCATTCTACCAAGCTCCAGAAGCTTCTTCATAGAATGGTCCTGTAGAATTATGCAAGAAATAGAAGTGAATAGCACATAACAATTGAATTGTGTTATCACCTTGCTCACAGAAATGAGATTATAATGAAAAGATGGGATGTACAAAACATTGTGTAGCGTGAAAGATGGTAACAAAGTAAGGGACCCTGTACATGTTACCTTAACTTTATAGCCATTGGGTAAAGAAACTAAGTAAGGAACAGGAAGAGGTGTAATATTAAAAAGAAGGTCCTTATTTGAAGTCATGTGGTCAGTTGCCCCTGAATCCACTATCCAAACCCTTCCAGCTACACTAGTTAACATACGTACAGTAGAACTACCATTTAAACACACATGAAGAGAAGAAGTACTACCAGCAAAATTGGCAGATCCCATCAGGACAGGTTGAGACCCTGATTCACCCAATGTAGACTGACTGAGCAATTGTATCAGCTGGGAGTATTGTTCTTTGGTGAGACCAGGGACCAAAGAGCTTTGATCAGTAGGAGAATACATTGCAGAAGGTTCAGAAGTTTGCCCCTCAGCACTTGCAGCAGTACCAAACTTCTTTCCTTTTGTGAATTTGAAATTTGATGGGAAACCGTGTAATTTATAGCATTTCTCAATTGTATGAACAGGTTTCTTGCAATACTTGCAAGACAAAGTAATATTTGACTTTTGGTTGCTTGCATCAAAATTCACCCTTTGTGTATATTGTTTTGTAGATGAGAGTTGAGAAGGGAATCTGTTAATGTTGGAACTTGCATTAAAAGAGGCTGAATCTGGATTAAGTTGGGTATTGGGGACAACTTGTCTCTGTTTTTCATCTTGCAACAAGATGTTATAGACAGTGTCAAGGGATGGTAATGGTTGCATCATTAGGATGTTGCTTCTTACCCCCACATAAACCTCATTAAGACCCATGAGGAATTGATGAACCCTGTCCTCTTCTTTTTTCTTTCTGGAGTCCCTCCTTAGCAGCACAAACACAAGAATTTGCATGACTCATACACATAACCCCTAATTCGTCCCAAAGTTTCTTAAGTTTGTTGAAATATGAAGCTATGTCGAGAGCCCCTTGATAAGTGGAAGCAAGTTCTCTTTTTATTTCAAACACCTTAGTTCCATTAATAGTCCCATACCTATTATTCAATTGTTTCCATATGCTTTCAACAGTTTCAGAATATTGTACACTTTCAACTATGTCTGGAGAAAGGGAATTGATTAACCAAGATATGACCATATTATTGCACCTGTCCCACTGCCTGTACTGAGGAGAATCGACAGCAGGCTTGGTGCAAGACCCATCGATAAAACCTATTTTGTTTCTAGCGGACAAGGACACGACCATGCTCCTCCTCCAACCCCCAAAACTGGACCCAGAGAAAGGCACAACAACTAAGGACACACCCGGTACATCGGAAGGAAGTAGAAATAGTGGACTTGAAGGTTCAGGAGTATAAGCAGGAGAGGAAGACTTGAGTCTGGAGTAGAACTAACCATGATAACAAAATATAATAACTAAATTTCACAAACAATCAATTCATGCAAGAGATCAAATAGAAACGAGTGTACCACACTTCTTCGCAACCTGAAGAAGAAAGGCCTTGAGAAACTTCAGCCTTAGCAAAAAAACCAACAAAACTCCGTTAATTGGCGGAACCCTAGTTTTGACGAAGAACACAAAAATCCGATAATCAGCAGCAAATTATCACCAAAAGCAGAATCAAACAGTTGAAGATGACTTCCTTAGACCGAAATTGAACAACAAGCAACAAAAATTGACGAAGAACATCAGATTCTGAATCTCAGCGAAAATTGAAAGAATGAAGATAGACCCGACGAAATTTGAAGAGGGTAATATCGGTCGATGCAGATTACCAGGGACTACCAGATTACCCGCTCTGATACCATGTTAAACTCAGAAATAAACATAAGAGATTAGCTTTTCAATTAGGGTTCATGATGAAGAAGAAAACCAAAAAATCGTCTCAGAGGAAAAATGTTCTGATATTTACCAATGAATAAAATGAATAAGAAGCCCCTAGAATGTTAACTATCCCCCTATTTATATTTTGGGCCTTTACAATGTAAGAAAAGAAAGAAAGAAAATGCTGTTACAAAATAAATAATGGGTTAGGCCTAAACAGTCCAGCTTCAGCTTTGTAAACTCAATCTTCGTGGCCCAATCATCAGGTGACTCCAACAGACTACACAGCTACGCTACCAATTAGAAGGTTATGCTAGTGGAAAAAACCCATCTGCATTATTCTTTTTGTTTTCAAATTACATGGTGACAACGTTCAGTTTGTAGCCTATGCTATTGCAGAGTCAATATTACAGATTCAAACTTCATAAAAGTACTAGTTTATTGACTATTGAGATTTTTTTAACTGAAAATCCTGAACAAGAGCCTTGTTCAGAAGATTACAATGTAATTATTTGCTTAATTTCGTGCACTAATCCAAATCTTTTTATGGTGTGAGTTGGTGATTAAAGCTTTGAATGATTTTAGAGTGTATCAGCGTTAGTCCACTTCATTTGAATGTTAAATGTTGCTAACAATTGATTGCCATGTTAATTTGATATCAACCATATAATGTTTGACTAGTTGTGTTGCCTTGAATTCCTTCTTACACCGTGCGAAATGTTCCACTTTCTATATATCTGAATCTTGATTCTGCATACTACTATATGGATGTTTGATTACACCAACATCGCTAATAGTTGATCAAAATCCTGAATATGTATTAACTTAACCAATAACTGACTTATATTGGTTTGGGTTTAGCACATTTAGAAACTGATAACTGATAAGCCAAAACTAAGTGCAAATACTGAACCTAACCACCGGATAAGCACTCCTACTTATTGTCGCTATCTATGTTAGTTTATAAGCTTAATAGAAGTGAAAGGTAACGTGATTCTACTTTTGCACAACAAATATGATTATCCCTCTGTATTCATGAAGGATATCCAGAGGAGATGGATGAATGATTTCAACAGAACACCCCCTTCTTGTTCTTCTTACAGTTGTTGCATGTTATTCGACGATGGGGAAACAGCAGTTCTGTCCAGATAGTTGTGAACCTTATCTTTTGTAGTCTTGTTTATTTTCTACAGGTTCTTATTGGCGAATGTTGCTCTGATGTCTCCAAATCTCAAGAAGCAGTGTCGTCAAACTTTAACTACTGATGTACTTAGCAACCTTCCTGAGAATGTAATTGATGATATTCTTATGTGTTTGCCTTTTCAAGATGCTGTGAGGACAAGCATCTTATCGAAGAAATGGAGATATATCTGGTGCAGACTTCCAAAGTTGACGCTTGATGAAACACTTTGGACAACTCAAAAGGATTTGAGATCCCTTAACATTTACTTTACAAAGATTATCTTCAATATTTTCACCTTTCATTCAGGACCTATTACAACGTTTACCCTCTGCATTCCTCATTCGGGAATGTGTACAAAGATTGACAACTTGATATATTTTCTTTTTAGGAATGGCATTGAGTATCTTTGTCGTAAATCATACAAATTGCCTTCTTCATTTTTCACATGTTTGCATTTAAAGCATCTGACTCTCGAAGGTTGTTTAATACTTCCTCCACCCTCCTTCAAAGGATTTGATAAGTTAACTAGCCTGGAATTACGTGGCGTAAAAATTTCTTCTGAGTTGCTTGAAAGTTTAATCTCTGGATGCCCGTTGCTTGAACATTTGGCGTTGAAAATCTCATATACTTTAAGAAGTGTCATTGAAATTAATGCTCCCATCCTGAAATCCTTTGACTTTGACGGCAATATAAGATCTATTTGCTTAAAACCTATACCCCTGCTGGAAAAATTATCACTTGCGCATTGGGGATGGTATGATTGGGCAAATAAATTTTGTATCACCAAGTTCTTTGAGTCTTTTTCTGCTCTCCAGCATCTCCACTTGAGTAACATAATTACTCTCAAGGTAAATGTGCTTATTTGAATCTTTTTTTAATGCATTTTTATATATGGAACATCATTTGGGCTTTGAGTCGTCTCGTAATGTGGCATTTTCTTCCTAGTTCGTGCCCGCAGTAGCAGGTGAATTACCGACTAGGCTTCCGTTTCATCTTAACCATGTGAAACGTCTGTACCTCTTTGGTCATTGTCTGTGTGAATTATGTGAGGTCTCCTATGCTCTTTGCTTGATGAGAAGCATGCCGTATTTACAATATTTGGAAATCGAGGTTCTTAATCATTTCATTATATTCTTTCTCCTCCTTATTAGTTGCTTTTCTTATACCTCAGATCCTCAATAAATTCGGATATATGGTTTTTTTAATCTTTCTTAGGTGGATAATAGCGTAGTCGTTGCTCCAGAATCCCATGAAGTTGAAGGTTTTTCAGATGTGACATTCAATCACCTCATGGAAATCAAACTAGAAGGCATTATAGGCAAAAATCCTCAGATGCAGCTTATCAAGCTTCTCTTAGCCAAGTCTCCGGTGCTGGTGAGAATGAAAATTGAGTCCTGGCTATCTGTAAATTCTGCTAGTGACTCGTCATCAGAAAAAACGAAGAATCTGCAAGAGTCAAAATTACTCGCTGAGATATCAAAATTTCAGCGTGCATCACCGAAAGCAGAAGTTATTGTCAAAAGTTTACTAGTATAAGATTACAATCATGTTCGATCTTCACGCATCTCTAATTAAACCATGAACTTTGGCTAAATTGTTTTGGTTCTGGAAGTGAATAGATAGAAATGAATGTTGATATTGTTGTATATATCGCGGTGTTTTGCCTTGCCACAAGTTAAGAGTTTCAATATATTTTGGCATTGCAGTGCTAAGGGCTCTTGAAATGATTTATAACTACAGAAACGATATTGTGGTTTATTTTGAACTTCAGCGTTAGGTTGCGGTTTGCTGTGTGTTAATTTTCTTCTCAGTCCTGCTTTTCATAAAGTATTTTATGTCTGTAAGGTAGAGCTAGGTACAACTGTTAGAATTAATACTACGTAGTACTGCTGGGCAAATTTTTCTTTTTTCAATTATTATAGTATTTAATATTTTATTTATTTAATCTCATATATATCTTATGGAATTACTTTGTTTTCAATGTCAAAATGTATTTCTCCAGTTAGCTGACTTTAAAATATTATAATGTTATGCTCTTGAAATACTTTTTATATAATATTTTTTATCAAATAAAGGGGGAGACGCTAAATATTTATAGTATGATTTTTGTTGTGTGTCATTCAACAAAATTTCATCTCTCATCATTTGCACAAATGCAAATTTGGATTGAAGCTCTTTCTTTCTTGGTCTATTCTTTTGATACGACTAGTGGTGAAGCCAGGGCATTCAAACTTGAAAGAAGTAAAAAAAGAATTTTCCGATAAAAGGTGTTCAATATATATTTTGTATTTCTAGAACCTAATATTTTACCTATATACGCAATGTATTTTTTCGACAATTTGACCACCCGCTTTGCCCCTAGATACGACAATACCATTTGTTGGACGCAATAACTTACTAAACCCCAAATTTAATTCTCTTTCATTTTGATCTAATGACTTTGTGGTACATGGCATACAAGGCACTCAATTTAGCAGTCTTGATTTATACGCGATGGTATCTATTTTCTACTGAGACAGTGATGTATATCATGTTAGCAACAATATATGGGAGAAATTCAAAAATAGCTAGATTTACAAGTGGTCGTTCAAAAATAGCTCAGTTTCAAAAGTAATCGAAATTTAGCCACTTTTCATGTAAAGATAAATCTGAGCGAAAATACTGTTCAAAATTCGGAAAATACGCCAGTATATTATGCTGGAGTTCCAACATAAGTATACTTGAACTCCAACATATTATACTGGAGTTCCAGGATAAGTATGCTGGAACTCCAGCATAATATGCTGGAGTTCCAGCAAAGTATACCGGTTCAATATAATATGCTGGAAGTTCATACACAAGTGCTCGAATCTCCGGTATATTATGCTAGAACTTTCCGTGTGTTGGAGTTCCAGCATAATATGCTGGAAGTTCATACACAGGTATACCGAACTCCAGTATATTATGCTGGACCGGTCTCTGTTGCAGCAAAATAGTGGCTATTTTTTATTGACTTGATAAACGCTGGCTATTTTTGAATGACCGGTCCGAAAACTGATGTTCAATAATAAAAGGCATTGAAGCACTATTTTGATGAAAGAAATCAAATGATAAACTATACTCCATATATCCAGATTGAGGTTAAAAATACTATATCATCTATTTGACTACTGTAAATCAAGTTTACTTTTTAAGATACCTAGAGTATGGTTAATCTTCGCATTTAATATTTGGTCTTTTTATTTCTGAAGGTACAAACGTTACTCTAGATATAAGATAATCATTGTATCTGTGCTAAGATAATATATTTTGACAGTCAAAATACATCAGTTTTACGTTATATTTTTTAAAGTTATTTTCAACAAAATTTTATTTAACCACGATAATAATTTTTTTTAGTGTTCACACCAAAATTGGAGAACAATTAAATTTGTATGCAGTTTTAAAGATACATGGTTATATTCAACAAAAATATTAAGAATATGAGATAAATGAATTAAAGATGAAATAAGCGATCAAACCAATTGCGATATTATGACCAAGCCTGAACTTAGATTGAACAGTGACCTCGCCGTCGATTGGACCCTCGGTTCGAGCCCAGACGTGAATGAAGAACAAGATAAGCGAACAAGAACTTTATCAGTAGCTAAAGCCTAAAAGGCAGAAAATAAACTTGTATTGCTTTGATTCACGTGTTACATTGAGTGTTACAAAAGAAAAACTTTCCCTTTGTTTACCGTGAAAATGGTAATAACAATTAAATTTGATTATGGGATTCTAAAAATACGTGATCTATTTTTATACCGGTTGTTAAGCAGTTGATGCTACGTGAAAGACTTAGAAACGATATTAGAGCTTGGGAGCAAGGAGATAACCAGGCCGAATGACTAATAGTTGGGGCCTCGAGCTTGCTTATTCGAGGATCTCGGGGTCGAGTTTGAGGCTCGGCTGGGAGCTACCGGGGATAGTCGACGGGCGACTAACAGATAGAATGAAATCAAAAGCAGCTCTTTGTGGCCAATAATGAGCAATAAATGATGAACAATAAATAGAACACAGTAAATGTAAGCAATACATGAAGTAATGAACTCAAGAGAATGTGTTAGGGAGCAGAGAGAAAGTTCTTGTGTATTTTAGTATGGAGCAACGGATATGTACACAATAACAAGGATCCCCTTTATATATGAGGGGGAATCCCAATATAGTACAAAAGCATTAATTACAAAGATACGGGCTGACATAGCCATTTAATGCCTTGATTCGCCTTTTTACTGGCCCACTAGACTTGACAGGCTATATGTGCGCGCCTTGGGAACTTCACCTTGGTCCGCCGAGACCACTAATTTACGTTTCCTCGGGGCCGGTCAGTACTTATACTATCTCGAAGTCAACCATCGAGAATTCTCGGAGTCGATCACAGGAAACACCGGAAATGCCTTGATGCTCGTGAAATCGAACCGTCGATTTCTACCGCACACAGATAGTCCCCGCGTTTCCTAGAGCAAAGTGATAGGAAACGAATTTGTACTCCTACTCCGTAAGCATCATCATCATGACATCAGCTCACCAGAGCATTAAATACCATACCCAAAATGCCGCACACGGGTCGCCGTCAAACACGACTATCGAGAAGCCCACGAACCACTATTGGTTCGTCCTTTCCGCTGCCCACATGGCTCCTATAAATGTATCAATCGTTTGATAATCCACACTTTCACAATACCTTCAAATTTTCAAGGCTAAATTCATCTCTTTTCATGTTCTTTCCTCTTTTGTTCCCGATCCTTTGCCTACTCTCTCGAAAAAGCTTTAGCACCATTATGGCTAGAACTTCCAAGACGGTTTCCAGGAAGGACGAGGTTGCCTCTTCATCCCGGGCATCCAAAGGAAAACCCAAAGTGATACCCTCCATCGAACAGTGTACTCCCGTCGAGTTCGACACGATGAAGGATTTTTCCATCGATAGAACTTCATCTGTACCAGGCCGATGCGAGCACGTGTCCCGGTATATTAGCGTTGTGACTGATGTAGGGAAAGTGAAAGGAGACTGCCGATGGTAGGAGGCAGTGCTGGTTGAGATACCCCGTTCTAGCGAAAGCATAATGGATCACAAAATGGGTTTCCTTTATGTATATACTTACCCGTTCACTTTGGGTCCATTCGATTCTTCAAACCCTTCTTCCCCGGCGATAGATCCGGTTATTCTCGATTTCTGCGATAAGTACCAAGTGACGCTTGGTCAAATCTATCCATCTTTCTGGAGGATAGTCTATATGCTCCGCCACTTTTCCAACGGGGTCGGGGGTGCGACCTTTACCCTCGATCATTTGATAAGATTGTATAGTCCTCGGTTTTATCGAGGTTTGATTAGGCTTCACCCTCGATCCAAGAAGTCATTTTTCTCGAGCATTGATGAGGATAAAGGTCGAGGGTGGATGAGCAGGTTCGTCTGAGTGAGGACCTCGGACATCATCCCGGCCGGGAAGATGCCATTCCCGGAGAAGTGGAATACTCAGCGTAAGTATTTTTCCTGCGGATCATGCTTTGTGGCCTTCTTACCTTTCTTCCGAAAAATGATCTCCCCTTGGTTTTTGCAGCTACCGCTTGGTATCCTGAAGCGGTCCAGTATCTGCCGGAATGGATCAAGCAATTGGATGCTTCATTCCCGTATCTTGGGAGGTCTTGGCCCGATCTGGCCAAAACACGGTGGGTGGCCAAGAATCATGGTAAAATCCTTCTCGCCGCTCTCACTATGTTTTTGCATCTCTTCCCCATATTCTTTGTGCTGATGAATTTCGACCACTATTCTTGCGCAGGCCTTGGCGAAAGAGTGCAGATGAGATCGCTCCCCGATGGTGAGGAGGAGGCTCCGGAGCCTGACAAAGGCAAGAAGAGGAAGAAAGGTTCGGCCGTTGTGTCTCCTGTGGCGAGGAAAACCAGGTCCAGCAGATCTCGGGCTGAAGCCGAGGTCTCGTCTTCAGCTTCTGGAGTGGGCTCCTATGACGGGGCGATGAGGGCGACGATGGAGATGAAGCTACTTTGGCACGAAGGAGAAAGTCGGGTATGGAATCCCCCCAAGTGTCTGCACCGAAGGGCGTCGAGTCAGGGACAGCTGAATCGGCTCGAGCCCACACCTCGGAGGGCCTCGAAGAGGGCACGGGTGCGACCCCTAAGCCCCTATTTGGTCGTGGCGCAGCCCCGCCGAGGAGACCGTTGCTGGTAGTTCCAAAGGGTCTGGGCCCAGAGCTTTTCGGGGGCAGGATTTGCCCCTTGGTGACATCGATGCCCTGGGTGGCCTTAATTTGGGCCCTCAGGTCTCATCGGGGGAGTTAAGGGACGCCGAGGATCCGAATGTAGCCAACGCGAGGGATCCTCTCAAGGGGGGATGTGCGTTTGGAAACTTCCTTGATGATATTGATGATGTCAGCAAGGAGATCGATCTCGACGCTCCCAGCACCGTCAAGGCAGCGGAGAGGTTCCAGCGGCAGGTGATAGCTATTCATGTGTATCCTTTTATTCTCATGCATTTTTTCTTGTTTTTGTGACTTTCCTATTCCGTCGTAGTCTAAGGAGATGTATATCACGCCCTCTCCAGACTCCGAGAGGAGCTTTCATGCCGTGAAAAGGAGCTCAAGAAACTCACCTTGGGACTGCAGGAATCGGAGGGCT